AGAAGGTAGGATATTGATGATGGAAATTGAATTAAAAGATAGAAAAATATTATTGGTTGAAATTTATGCACCAAATGGACCACAGGAACAGTTCTTTCAAAAATTACATAATAAAATTAAAGATATACAATATGAGGAAATTTGCCTTTTAGGTGATTTCAATGCAATTATTGACAAAATATTAGACTATAAAAGTAATAACATAAGAAAAGGGGAAAAATGAACACTACCCAAAACTTTTCACGATTTGGTTAAGGATATAAATATTCAAGATACTTGGAGAGAAAGACACCAAGGGAAAAAGCAATATACTTTTTACTCTAATAGACACCGATCATGGTCGAGGTTAGACATGGTATGGATGTCAAAAGAACTTATCTCAGAAACAATAGAAATTGAAATAAGAGACAAATTTATAGGTGGACCATAGTTATATTAGACTCAGTTGGAAAGGCAAAAAAAAAATCCCAAGGTGGACGATGCAAAGGTCAATCTTAAAAGAAGATTTTAGGTCTAAATTAGAGAAGGAATTGAGGTTCTTTTTAAAAGAAGATAAAGAAGATACATCTCAACAAAATACCTGGAACACAGTGAAAGGTTATATGAGAGGGGTGGCAATAACATATATGGCAAAAAATAAATAAAGAAAAAAAGCAACGACAGAAAACATTAGAAGGAGAATACAGAAGACTGGAGAAGAAATTGCAAGAAGAACCTCAAAAAAAAAAAGAAATAAAATTACAAATGGACCTGATAAAACATAAAATAAATTTACTCGAGAAAGAAGAATTAGCACAACAACTGAAAAAGACAAAACAAAACTTCGAGAATGCCAATAAGCCAGGAAGATGGCTGGCCTATAAATTGAGAAAACAGAGAGAAAAAAGGTGGATCACCAAATTACAAAATGAACAGGGAGAGCTGTGCTACCAAGTGGAGGATAAAAGAAATATAGCTCAGAGATTCTACGAGACATTATATAATGAAGATAAACATCCTATAGAAGAAAAAGTGGTAAGATGCTTTAAAAAAGCAGAGCTCCCAAAAATTTCGGAAGAAAATAAAAATATGTTAAATGAGGAAATCAGACTAGAAGAAGTAATTATGGCGATAAATAAACAAAAAAAAGGGCAAGGCATCAGGACCAGATGGGATTCCAGCTGAGTTGTACAAGAGTCAACAAGAAATATTAGGTAATAGACTACTTAAAATATTTAATGCGGTTTTAGAAGAGGTGAAGGTCCCACAAACCTGGAACGAAGCAACGGTCACAATTATTCCTAAAGAAAATACTGATCAGACAAATATTAGTAATTACAGAGCAATATCTTTGCTAAATGTGGACTATAAAATTTTTATAACAATAATAGGTGACAGATTTAAAAAAAAAATTAAATGAATTTATTCACACTGATCAGAACGGCTTCCTTCCACGCAAACAACTTAAAAATAATATTAAGGATAATCTTGGATACTTTAGAATACGATGAAGAACATTGTGGAGACCAGGTGGCATTATTGTTTCTAGAGGCCCAAAAGGCATTCAACAATGTAAATTGGAATTTCATCCTGCAACAAATTAGATATATGGATTTTGGATAGAAATTTTTGAAATGTAATTTTGGCAACATATAACAAACAGGGAGCCAAAATATTAATGAATGGGGAAACAACTTAACAAATTTAAAATACAAAAAGGAACAAGGCAGGGATGGCCATTATCGCCACTTTTGTTTATTTTAACACTAGAAGTACAAGCAAGAACAATTAGAAAAGAAACACAAATAAAAGGATTAAAAATTAATAAAGAAGAATTTAAACTACAAGCCTTTGCAGACGACTTAGTCTTTATTTTAGAAGATCCACAAAATTCGGGACCAAAACTTATAGAAAATCTAAAAGAATTTGGAGAGGTTGAGGGGCTGAAAACTGATAAGGAAAAAACTAAAATAATTACTAAAAATATGACAAATAAGCAAAAAGAAGCATGGACCAAGATAATGGACATCCAGATAGTAACCGAAGTAAAACACTTGGGGATGACAATTTCTGCAAGATGTATAACAATTAAGGAAGACAATTATACTCCATTAATGAAGCGCATAACAGAAGATTTGGAAAATTGGGTTAAAATAAGATTATCTTTCATGGGCAGAATAGCAATTATAAAAATGAATGTATTACCAAAACTATTGTTTCTTTTTCAAAATACCCCCATAAAACTGGGAAAAAAATTCTTTGGCAATTTGGACAAATTAATACTGAAATTTATATGGCAAAAGAAAAAACCCAGGATTAAATTAAAACTATTGCAGGATGCTAAAGAAAGAGGTGGCTTCGTCTTACCCGATTGGGAAATTTATTATCAGGCTGCAACACTCACCTGGGTAAAGGATTGGATAACTTTTGATAATAGAAGAATGTTAGCTCTCGAAGGCCACAATCTACAAGCAGGATGGCATGCCTTTTTATGGCAAGATAGACAAGAGGCCCACCGATACTTTTATAGACATATGATTAAGTAGGCATTGTTATTGGTATAGAATAAAACTAAACAACAAATATATATAGAAACCCCAATATGGTTATCCACACTGGAAGCTCTAATGCACCCAAATTTGCTTCGCCGAGGAAAAATTATTACATATGAGAATATTTTAAACAAGATGGGAGAATTGAAATCAAGGCAAGAACTGAAAGAGCAAGGAGTAGATTTGGAATGGTGGGCCTACCTACAAGTCCAATCACGATACAGGAAAGACATGAAAGATCAGGGAATTAGTAGACAAAATTACAATTGGATGAAATTCTACTGGGAACAGATGATAAACTGATAAGGAAAATGTATAGAGTATTATTGGAATATAAATTAGAGGAGGAACAAGTAAAAGAAACGATGTTGGCATGGATAAAAGATATTGGACATGGTATTAATTTGGATAAATGGCAAATTCTATAACATTGGCCACATCGTACCGTGTTTCTCATAAAATAAGGCTGGGTCTTATATTTTTTTGAGCCCCGAAAAAACGGCTAGGCCATCTTTTCGGGGGTGACTTAATTCCCCCCCTTGCATCCTCATCTAGAGAGCCCCGCGGGCAGCCTCGCCACCAGCCGCTCCTAACGGATGATCATGGCGAAGCGCAGAGAGCTCCCTACTCCCACCAAACACCTTTGCTGCAGACCCAAGACCTCTGGCACCCGCCGCTGTTGCTTTCCCTTCTGCCCATTCCGCCGCCACGTTTGGAGCTGCCGCTTCCGTGTTTGGAGTGCCACTGCCATTTGGAGTGTTGCCGCCATTTGGAGCACCGCCATCATGTTTGGAGCTGCCACTTCCGCGTTTGGAGCTGCAGCCGTGTTTGGAGTGGCGGCGGCACTCCAAATGGCGGTGGTGCTCCAAACAGCGGCAGTGCTCCAAACGCGGAAGCAGCAGCTCCAAACACGGCGGCAGCTCCAAATGCGGAAGCGGCATCTCCAAACGGCAGCGGTGCTCCAAACAGCGGCAGTGCTCCAAACGTGGAAGCGGCAGCTCCAAACGCGGCGGCGGCATGGGCAGAAGGGAAATCAACAGCGGCGGGCGCTGAAGGTCTTGGGTCTGCAGCAAAGGTGCTTGGCAGGAGTAGGGAGCTTTCCACGCTCTGCCATGATCGCCCATTAGGAGCAGCTGGTGGCGAGGAATTGCTGCCCGCAGGGCGCTCCTAACGGCAAGCCCTTCCCCCCATGTTTTAAAATAGGCCTAAATTTGGGGGGAGGGGCTTAATTTCATTTTATGCCTGGAAAACATGCTGGGTCTTCCTATTGGGGGAGGTCATATTGTTGGAGAAACACGGTACAAAGAAAATTTATACAAAATGTTTTATAGGTGGCACATTCCTCCAACAAAATTAGCGAAAATGTATCCAAATTTATCCCCTATTTGCTGGAAATGCTCCCAGGAAAATGGATCATACTATCATGTATGGTGGACTTGTAGGAAAGCCCAGGATTTTTGGCATAAAATTCAGAGTTGGCTAGAAGAAATGGGTGAAATCAAATTCGAATATAAACTGGAACTCTTCTTATTGGGAATTAATGCAGAGAGATATAATAAAGATATGATGTACCTAATAATACATGTGATTATGGCTGCAAGATTAGTCTATGCTCAAAAATGGAAACTTAAGGAAATTCCAGATGAAGCGGAGATAATTAAAAAGATATGGACATGCACAGAAATGGATAAACTAACATTGGAATTAAAAAAGAAAGATGAATCTGAATATTATAAAGCATGGAAAAAGTTTTACCACTGGTTGGGAGAAAGGAAGGATTTAAAATTTAAATTAAAATGAGATAAGGATGCTAAGATGACAGACTAGGAGTATAAAAATTGTTGATATATTATGTAAATATGTATCATTTATTATCCAAAATAGATATGTAAGACAATTAGGTGTGTCAGGATGAATACACCACGTTCACTGTTTTTAAATGCTTTCTTTTTGTTCAATAAATTTTTCTAAAAAAAAAAAAAGAAAGATGCATGAAAGGAAAAACAAGCAGAGAAGCAAACAAGGCAACAACTTCAGCCTTTGCTGTCTGTAGCTTTTCTCCAGTAAATTCATATAGATGATCCTTTAAAAAGTATAAAAAAGTGACAGTAATATTTTTTATGACTGTCATTAATTTATGCTAACATTACTGCTTTTATTCTGTATTCTCCTCCTTGAACCAAATAAATATGACTTCTCAATTTGCATTAATCTAGAAATTAATGTGGTAACTATTTTGTCATCTGTTAGGCTTTCAATTTAAAGATCAAGTTAAAGATTTTTCAAAAGAACAATACTTAAATAAATGAATGACCTATCTTACTTTAACATTAACGTAAGATAGGCAAATATACTAGTACCTATCCCTATAAATAAGAACATGAATAACCAAGCTGTATTTAAGACAAAGAATACACGAGCACTACCTGGTCTTGCCAGGGGCTTGAAAATAAAAAAGTTATGTCTTACCGATTCTATAGGCTTGTCTAATGATGCCTGCTCAATCTCCAGATGGCTTTCTTCATACTGATCAAAGTGATTACCCTGCAAAAGAAGAATCATATATTATTCCCTCCGTGCAACATAAACAATTGTGTTTGAATTACTCTTAAAATGCCCATGAACAATTACTACCAATAGTTTCTCAGCCCACTTCATCTGTTAATTATATTATAAACTTTGTATCAGCTCAGCATTATCAGATTACTATCTCTTAAAACAAGGGTCCCCAACCCTCGGGCTATAACCCACCCCTTGGCCTGTTCAGAACTGGGCCATGGAAGTGGTGGGTGAGTGTGTACATGCAGCTCCATTTGTGCAAGCGGCGGGCGCATGTGCCCATGGCTTGCACAAATGGAGCTGTGCACGCTTGTCCACCGGCCGCACATAACCATTCCCTCTCCACAAAGCTGGAAAGGTTGTTGTCTTAAAAGACAAAGAATTCACAATTAACATCTAATCTAGTTTGCAGTACCCATCACATATTACAACAACTGCATGGCATATTTTGCTAGACTTCAGTATCTCAAGATTACTTACTGACACACCAAGTCACCCAACCATGGACACTGCTCCACAGAGCAACACAGTCAAGTGAATGTTAGTTGAAGATGAATCACATTTCAACTTCCAAGGTTCGTTTCGAGATTCCCATCCCTAGGGGCGGAGGACCACAACGCCCTTCGATGCCCGTGGCCCACGGGCCTCCTTTATGCCTTCCCTCCTCTGGCGCTGGTGCCCATAGTCCTTCAAATGGTACTCTACAAGAGGGCGGAACTGCTTCTTGTAGCTCCTTATTGGCCCCGTCGCCCTTGGTTCGCGGACCTCCGCAGCCTATCCGTAGCCCCTCCCTGGAGAATCCCAGCAGACAGAATCTCCCTGTCTCAAGGTCCCCTTCTTCACCCGAACCCCCAGTGGCTTCAACTAGCCGTCTGGAGGTTGAGCGGGAACGTCTGAAGAGGGAAAATTTCTCTAACAAAGTCATTGATACCATTTTAGCAGCCAGGCGCCCCTCAACCACAAGGATTTACGACGCCACCTGGGCCATTTTCCGCAAATGGTGTGTCAAGCTTCTCATTGACCCAACTGCCTCCTCCATTGCCCAAATACTTGACTTTCTCCAGGAGGGTCTCAGCAAGGGACTGTCCCCCAATACTCTAAGGCGCCAGGTAGCAGCCTTATCCACCGTCATCTCCTGTGAGGAAGTCAGTTCCCTCTCTCACCATCCCCGTATCCGAGCCTTTCTGAAAGGGGCCACAAATTTACGTCCACCGTCCCTTCACCGGTACCCAACCTGGGACCTCAATAGAGTCCTGACTTCCCTCACAAAGCCACCCTTCGAACCCCTAAGAGAGGTCTCTCTCCAGTTCCTATCCTACAAAGTAGTATTCCTGGTAGCAATCTCATCAGTCCGTAGGATTTCAGAGATCACTGCTCTGTCCGTTAGGGAAGACCTTTGCATCTTTCATCCCGACCGGGTGGTCCTCCGACTCGACCCTTCCTTCTTACCCAAGATTAATTTGGTTTTCCACAGGGCTCAAGAACTTATCCTCCCCAATTTTTGCCCCAGGCCAACTCATGAAAGGGAGAGACTATGGCACACTCTGGACGTCAGATGTGCTTTGCGGATTTACATTAAACGCACTGAGATCTTCCGTAAATCCGAAGCCCTGTTTATATCATTCCAACCAAAGTCACAGGGGCTCAAGGTCCCTCCAACCACCATAGGCCATTGGATAAGGGCGGCCATTGCCAAGGCATACCAGGCTCAGGCCCTCCAAGTACCTAGGGGTATCACGGCTTACTCCACCAGGAGTGCGGCAACTTCAGCCGCCTGGGCTACCCAGGCCCCAATAATCGACATTTGCCGGGCAGCGACGTGGGCCTCCCCGTCGCCCTTCATTAGGCATTACCGGATTGACAGGTATGCCTCAGCTGAGGCTTCTTTTGGTAGAAGGGTCCTTCAGAGGGTCCTCAGGGAACCCGAGGGGACTACAGACCAGACGGTGCCCCTCCCGTAGGACAGGCCCAGCTTTGGTATGTCCCACTGTCTGGACAATCCGAGCAGCTCTAAGGAGAATGGGCGTTGGTTCTTACCTGACACGCCATTTCTCTTCGAGCTGCAAGGATCGTCCAGCCCCTCCCTTTTCTTTCACCGTCTGGTGGGGTCTTGTTTCCTCCAATGCACCTTTAAGTCTAGTAAGATGAGAGCACGAATTCCTGTTTCCTCTCGTCTTCGCATAAACTGGGGAACGCTGTAACGGAGCCACGTGATGGAAGGAGGAGCGTTCCTCAGAAATTAAGCTCAGCCTACAACAGCAGAGACTGAAGCTCCACCCACTGTCTGGACGATCCTCGCAGCTCGAAGAGAAATGGCGTGTCAGGTAAGAACCAACGCCCATTCTTCTGCATACTGGTCCATCTTTTGAACAACTTTGAAGCTGGCATGACCAAGCTTTCTGTGCAAAAGATGAACACATGAATCATGTTTTGCCACATTGCCACATGTGTGTGCACACCAAACATTTTTTTAATAAAAATTTTATTAATTTTCAATAAACATACACAAACAAAACACAAAACATGAAAACATAAAACTTCTTTTTGGAAAGTGGCTTAATCCCGGGTTACATCTTTCTGTACAGACATAAATCAAATTCATGCTCACTTTATATACCATTTCATATCTTATTTACCATTCTACATTTTCTATATAGCTTCTCCCCTCTTTTCACTCTCTTAATTCTATTTTATTTATTTCATCACAATTTAAATCATTATACTTGTATCTTTTGTCTGTTCTATTTCAATTATCTATTATCTTTTCTCATTAACACAAGATTTCTCCTGTAATCACTGATTGAGGTATGAAGCCTTTATATCTTTCCCCTAAATTTAACACTTAAAATAATATATAATTTTCATTCTGATTCTGCTTAGTACATTCTAAAGCTACGTACTATATTTTAAAATAGGAAAATAATAAGTTTATAATATAATTAAAACAATAATCCATAGCAAATTAAACTCTATCATTAAATCTTAAGCATTTTACACATTCCTTTTAATATTTTATCCCATTTTATAATCATATAATGTTCCAGTTTTCTAACATTATTTCAAATACAAATACAACAATAGTCTTATGTACTTTTGCAGAATCTCTTTTTTAATTATATTTTTACCCATTATCTCTGAATAAATCCTGTTTCTTTACATCTTGTTTCAAACCTTTGTAACTTCTCTTCCCTTTTTCCCTTCGTTTCTTCTCCAGTCTAGCCTTTTTACCCCTCCATTTCTTGATCTCCACCCTCTTAATCTCCACCCTCTTCTGTATTCCTCTTATCTGTTGCTTTCTGACATTGTATCGATTTTTCACCTTATTTTTCCCTTTTTTGGTTGTTTTTTTTAAGTCTTAAATTCTCCATTCTCTTTCCCCTCTTTCCCTTTTCTTCCCCAGCTAAAGTTGTTTGTTCATTAAAGATGGCTTCTTCTTCTTCATCCCAACCTTCTTGTTCTTGTAATTTCTGGTAGGTAGAAATCGCCATTTCTAAGAAATGAAAAACAGATCCAGAAGAGCCCTTCCCTTCTTGTTCCTCTTCTTTTGGCTTTTTGAATTCCATTTTCAGTTCATCAACAAGTAATGCCATTGTGAAAAATTTTTAAACAAACCAAATGTTTTTAGTCTTTCAAATAATAATTTCCAAAGGTCCCAAAGTCAGCAAGCAATCCAAATAGACACAAACTGTTTCATTTAGCACTTTCTTCTTTTTATACTTTCTCTTCCTGGGGTACAGTTCAATTGCAAAGTTCCAAAGTATATCTTTTAGAAGTCTTGTTACAATTTAACTCTGATCTTATAAGTTCCAAGCAGCCTCCTCCAGCAAAATCTTAATATCAATTCTTTTCCTCTCCCTTCCCACTTATAGCAAAAAAAAAAATTTTTTTTTAATTCCAATGTTCAGAAATCTTTAATGTCCCCTTGGCTTAATTTTCAAATTTAATTACCTGCTGGTGCCAAAACAGGTTTTTCCGATTTCCATCTGCTATCACCGTAAGGAAGGAGAGTGAAGAAAAAAAAACTTTCCCTTTTAACTTTCACAGGCATGATATTCCCCTC